AAGGGAGCAGCAACTCTGCCCTCCGCACCTTCATTCATTCAACTGATATTTATAGAGGGCCTGTTATAATGCTGGGCACATTTTAGGTGGTAAAGATACAACTGAGAAGAAGCCACAAAGAATTTGTAACCTCGTGAATTTTAGATTTTAGCTGGGAATAAAAACCAAAACAAAACACACAAATAAACTACAAATATATGTGTGGCAAAGACATGATGATGACACTAGAAAGAAAGATAAGGAGATGATGAGATGTGGGATTTAAAATGTTCTTATGAGGCTAAAACTTGTGAACTGGAATAAAGCGATCTGATGAAGTACATGGGAGCCATGGATGATGTAGAGGAAGAGCATCTCAGGCAAAAGAAAGAACAAGTGCAGAAAACCTTCAGTATGAGTAAACTCGTTTTTATGGTCAGGTTAGTTGGAACAAAAAAGAGTGAGGGGATTGTGATAGAGAAGAAAGTAGGGGCCAGAAAGTCTAAGGTCTTTTAAATCACAATAAGGTGTTGGATTTCAAATGTGCTATTCCAGGGTCTCAGGCACTGTGCTTTGACCTTCAGATGAGGCTGCCTCTGAGTAGCTAGGGAGAGGAGACAGTGTGCATGAACCAGGAGCACAGGGAAAACTCAGTAAGTCAGCTCTGACTTGCCCTTGAATGTGGAGCAGCAAATGAGCTCAAGCTCCATTACCCAAGAGAGAAGGAGAGGGAGGGCTTGATGGGTCAGAGGTGGAAGGAACCTCTGAAGCTAGTCTCTTTTGTCTGTCATCAAAGGGGACTTGAATAACCAATGGGTGTTCAACTATTTTAAAGTTGGAATTTCTGTGTAAGCAGTACCTTCCACAAAAGTATACATACTATATACCAATCTCCTTTCCAAGTATTTCATAGGTTTCATGTCACTGGATCCTTCTAAGAGCTCCATGACAAGGCTCTCTGAATATGCCCACTTTGCAGATGCAGAAGCTGAAGTTCAGAGAGAAGGAGAGCAACATATCCAAGGCCAAGAAGTATAGAGTTGCTGGGGTTGACCAAGGGTGGGTGAAGCCCTCTAGGGCACTTTAGAACCCCTATTGCTCCAAGGAAAAAGCTGAGAAATTCACGTTTCCAGGCCCTTCCTCTAAGATATGCTATGTGCTTACCTCCTTAGAGTAGAATTTTGACATTTGAGGGCATTTACTTCAGCACTTGCTTTTGCCTCTTCACTTCGTTGTAAACGATGATCTAGAAGTTGTGAGAAGGGGGGAAATCAGATTAATAAAATCAGGGATGCGGCAGAATTCAGCACTGTGGTTGGGAAACAATAAAGTGGTTGGCAGGAACTATATGGGGACAATTCCTGAATTTCTGGTAGAAAAATATGAGTTCCTCCAGCCATATCAGGCCAGCTGATATCTTAAGTGCACCTCAGTTCTGCAGCACCTCAGTCTGCACGTCTGGACAGAGGTCCTGACTGGCCGAAAGTGGTTGCTTCCTGATAAGGTGGTGATTACTTCTGAAAGATGGGGTAATATCCTCAGCTATTTTTTCAGAGCATTTGCTGTGCACCAGCTCTATGCAAAATATTTTGCATTTATCATTCTATTTGATGCTGTCAAAACTCCCAAGAGGTGGCAGGCATCCTGGTGACCTCGAGGTTACCATGGCCCCCTTTTGACACACAGAGGAGTAGAGTAACTTCCTGCAAATCACACAACTGAACTATGTCTACTTGACACCTGTGCTCATTCTCCTAAGACTCCATTGATACAGAATTTTTTAAAGATTTGGGGTGGGAGGGTACTCTTTCCTATTGTAGAGGAAACCTGATTTATTCATCACTAAGGTTGTTTACTAACTGGTCTAACATTCTGTGAAAACATATCCATCAACTGGCCCTGAGAGTTCAGAAATGAGTTTGGGAAGCAGATGTCGGCTACTATTAAGTAGTTTAAAGAATTTTGCAAGGGAACTGAAGCCAGATGAAGATAAATCTTTGCTTTTGTCCCCATGTGTGAATGTCACAACTAACAGGCATATGATGCAACTTGGAAAAAAGTAAAAGAGGTGAACTGGGCATTTTCCCCAAGTCCATTTTAGCAAAGAAAGGTAGTCAGTCACTTGAAACTGCTCTTCTAGAAAATACTTGTAAATACAATAAGCACAAATAATAGAAGATGCCAACAGGAAAAAAAAAAACTGATCTACCTTGGGTCAGATACATGGGGCAGACTGGAGTCAGTCAGGAAGGAGACCTAGGAAAATTTCTAAGTTTTAGGGTACTTAAGACTTGTAAGGCATGGGGGAGGGTGAGAAGGAATGAAATTGCATTCCCACTGGGTAGGATCAAGGACAGATTCTCTAACTTTCAAGAACCATTTTACATGTTCAAATCACCTCATCGTTACTGAGTCCCTCTTCCGCATGAAGCAGAGGGTAGCAATGGAGGGTACAATAAGGTCGTGATTGCTTTAAAATTATTCATAATAGAAACACATTGTGGGACTTGATTCTAAATGTTAAACTTAAATTTGAGCAATTTAATTGTCCGTTGAATAGAAATGAAATCCCACTGGTAGGCAGTTATTTCTTACAACCACTGTGTGTGAAATTGAAATCTTAAGATACCATTTCAAATATTCACTTTCTCTGAGGAAGTTCTCCCCAAAGAGTTGTGAAAGATAAGAAACTGACCCCAAGTCATAGGCAGAAATCTCTCTGTATCCACTAGGGTCAAAACAGAAGCATATTATTAAAAGGAAACGTTCTGCCCCAAAGCTGGCCTTTCAGAGGTTACCTCCTGGAAAGCAAGGCTATATTTAACAACTAGCATGAGCCCCATGGAAAACTGTAGCAAAGAAGGCAGCAACTTATCAGATTTAATAAAATCAAGCAGATGCAAACATATCATCTAGTCACCAAGATATGAACGATACAATGGGAAACTGGTTATGTGTATTGTTCAGGAGCAACAGGGGATTAAAAGAAGGGATCCTGCTGTTTGTTTGTTAAAAATGGAATTGTCGTTTTAAATTTGGGTGGGATATTCTTATTTTAAATCCCCATTTCACCTTCAACTTAATTTCAAGCTCTTTTTCAATTCCTTTAATAATGCCTTTTGTTATAAGATGCTGCCTTTTATGAGTATTTAATCTATGCCAAATTCTCTCCATGCATTAATCTCTTATCTGTTCCCCCAAGTGTCTGTGCATGCTTTGCACGCGTTCGCCCACTAAATCATCACAACAACTTATAATATGGGTTCCGGAGCCCTATTTCACAGCTGAGGATACTGGGGCTTCAAAGTCCTGCCGTTAGCACAAGTTCACCCAGGTGGGAAATGGTGGGCCTGCAGGCCGGTGTCTGACTCCAGAGCCACTAGCCAATGCTGCCTCCTCAAGTGACATAGCTTTTCTAGGCCACCTCCAGTGGTTAAGGAGGAAGTCTAAGCAAACCCACACAGTTTGATCCAAAGTTCTGACACTTTAATTAACTGATTATAATAGGTAAACTGCTAATCCCAGCCTACATGTTTACCTTCATTTCTGATTATAAAGTGGTAGGTTACAAATTTATCACATAATTTAGGCTTGCCTAATCAGTCTAGGGGTTTTCCTTTATTATTGAAAAACAAAGATGTGATCAGGAGAATGTCTTTTTATATATTGTTGTCAGTCTTGACTCCAATTCAAAGCTGCTTTCACACCACACACACACACACACACAGAGAGAAACTTTAATTACACCTATTAAAGACCCAAACTTTAGATGTGAAGACAAGAAAATAACAAAAGTATGAAGACAATAGTAAATTCTAGTTACACTTGTGAAAAGTCAGTGCCGATTTGGCTCTGATTAGGGAAAATGAAGTACCCAGAGATTCACTTCTGACTTCAAGCACCACCTTTTAGGGAAGCTGTGCTCAGCCAGTGCCATCTTTAAAATGGGAAGAAAATGTCAGGCTGTTCCTATAGAAAATAGGCTCTGAAATACTTCCTGGTTTCCCCACAGGACTTGTGACTGGCACGGAGCACAAGCAGTCATTTTCAAGAACTCTGGCCAGGGCAGAGGGAACCAAAGTTTTTCTCTAGAAAAGGCAGAGTATTAGCTTCCTCTCTCCTCTGCATTCTTCCCCCCTGCCTAGAACTTGCCCTGGGGGTTGGAGTGGAAACCTGTACTCCCAAATCAAGTCTGACTACTCTGTTGCCCTGACCCTGGGCAAAATAATCTGTCCAGCATTGCTCTCGATCATTGGAAAAACACTTTCTCTGCATAGAGTATTACTGGCATCACAGGGGGCCACTGTAACCGCAGGAGTCCGATTTTTGAAAGATGCTGAGGGAGGGAATTCCGCCGCCAGCAGATGCAGAGGAGACTCAGACCTGCGTGGTCCCTCCCAACCACCCTCCCGCCGGGATTAGCTGCCCCTGGCACTGCTCAGGCGCACCCCGCCCGTGCGGTCCCCGCTCTCGCCGCTCTCGTCTCCCCTGTGAAGCGCAGTCAGTCACCAGCCCGCAGCCAGCAGAGCCGCGCTGTCTGGGCATCCCCCTCCGAGCGTGTCTGCGGACCTGGGACCTCGAACCCCCGGACGGGCGGGAAAGCCTCGGACCGCTTATATTTCTGTACGTGCTTATTTCCTATTCTTGCCTTTTCTTTCTTCCTTGAGCGACCTACTGGTTACTTTCAGTCTTAGTTAAACCAAAAGGGAAATGCCGTAGAGGGGAAGCCCTAGAGAATGGTCGAGCAGGCAGTCCAGTCTTCTCTCCAAAGAGAGATGTGCACTAGCGACTCTCCCATCCCCGAAGCTGGCCCCTTTAAGAAGCTAAGTCTGTCTCGCTGCTGCTGTTTGTATTGCTAATCCCCAGGAGCCCCGTTAAAAAAAGGGGGGGGGGAGGAGAAAAAAAAAAGGGGGAGAACTGGGCATCTGTCTCTTTAAATGTGATTTCCTTCTATTGTATTTGAATCGTGATCAGGAAAAAGGAAATGAAACCAGAGACAGAGGGAAGCTGAGCGAAAATAGACCTTCCCGAGAGAGGAGGGAGCCCCGGGAGCGCGGCACGGTCCCCACCCCCAGGCCGCCGCCCCCTGCCTGCCCTCGGCGGCTGGCTGCGCTCGGGGACCCGCTGTAGGTGCGAGGGGCTCGGGGCA